GCGCACACAGCGGCCTCTCGCGGATTTGCGGAAAAAAAAACTGCACAAATACGTATTTCCCGGGACGTATTTCGCGGTATCCAGAAACGTCTGCTGGACTACGTTTTCAGAATGAGACTGGGTTGGTATATTTAAAAAGAAAGAACTGTATTGCTAAAGAGGCTGAATGGCGGTGGCTCGTTCATTATCCTCGTGCTGCAGCTCTGTTTAACTGTTTTCTCGATAGTAACGCGTTTAGTTTTTCCACTTACAAAGTCTGACTCTGAGGGAATGTGAGATGAGACTCTAATTGGTTTAATGAATGTCATGCTCAAAACACACCCATAGCTCATTAAGAGAATAAGCACAACACTGTTGGACCAAGCACCGTGGTGCAGACCGTATTTTTTCCATCTTTAAAATAGCAAAAGTGGATTTGGACACGCCGTTAATGCTTTTGCACCCTGCGCTTTAGGCTTTGCGCCTAGATCGTTAAAAAAGAGCTCAATGTCTATAAAACACAATGAATGAGGGAAAACCTTTGCAGATATTCTGACTCTGATTGACTGTTGTCATCCCTAACAATGCTTACAGTTTATTAGTTTACTGTAGTTAATGCGACAGTAGCAGTTATAAACAGTAAATATGCAGTATAATATACATAACTATACTATAGTTAAAAACACACTATATGTTTATTAAGCTACTACAGTAGTTTTTCATGTTGGATCTAACCCTAAAAAATCATGCTTATCTATGAGTTTATGAAAGAATGGAAACTTTCTGGAACATTCCTATCAAACAATCCTAGTCCAAACTACGGTTTTCCTAAAGCCAGAGGAAAAAGATGAGTTGATAATAATGTTGTTCAAGCCACAAAGTCTAAAAACCTACATGTAACCTTAAACCCCGCTCTTCGATGTGATCGGTATGGTTCTCCATGACATGTTTTTAAACAGTTCTTCACCACAAACACACTCTCTCTCTCTGAGATCTCACAAATCTCAGACATTCTTGAGGAAAGGGCAGTATGAAAGGCATGGATATATGAAACCACAGCTATTTTATTATATTGTTTAGGTTATGAGAATGTTATCATTAAAATACTGACCGGCACACGCTTAACTGTTAAGTAACTTTCAAAATATTGGCATCGGCTGGTGTAAGAACTATTCTTATTGCTGTAGTACATTTACATTTAGTCATTAAGCAGACACTTTTATCCAAAGCGACTTACAAATAAGGACAAGGAAGCAATTTACACAACTATAAGAGCAACATTGAAGAAGTGCTGTAGGCAAGTTTCAGGTGTGTAAAGTCCAAGAAGCAAAACAATAGTAAAATGTAAGTTTTTTTTTTTTTTTGAGTACAGTTAGCGGGGGAGTCAGAGATGCAATTGCAGATTAGGAAGGAAAGTGGAGACTAAATAGTTGAGTTTTTAGTCGTTTTTTAAAGACAGCGAGTGACTTTGCTGTTCTGATGCAGTTAGGGAGTTCATTCCACCAACTGGGCAGATTGAGGGCGAGAGTTCGGGAAAGTGATTTCTTCCCTCTTTGGGATGGAACCACGAGGCGACGTTCATTCACAGAACGCAAGTTTCTGGATGGCCTATAAATCTGCAGAAGTGAGAGTAGATAAAAAGGAGCAAAGCCAGAAGTCGCTTTGTAAACATCAGAGCTTTGCATTTGATGTGAGCAGCAACTGGCAGCCAGTGCAAACAGATGAGTAGCGGAGTGACATGTGCTCTTTTAGGTTCATTAAAGACCACTCGTGCTGCTGCGTTCTGAAACAGCTGAAGAGGTTTGATAGAGTTAGCTGGAAGCCCGGCTAGTCGAGAGTTGCTATAATCCAGTCTGGAGAGAACAAGAGCTTGAACAAGAAGTTAAGGGTGCATGTTCAGATAAGAAGAGTCGGATCTTTCTGATGTTATAGAGTGCAAATCTACAAGATCGAGCAGTTCTAGAAATGTGGTCAGAGAAGTTTAGTTGGTCATCAAACGTTACTCCAAGCCTTTTTATCATTTTGGATGTAGTAATGGTTGCCCCATCCATCTGGATTGAAAAGTTATGATGTAGAGTCGGTTTGGCAGAAACTTCAAGCATTTCTGTTTTCGTGAGGTTAAGCTGAAGATGATGATCTTTCATCCAGTGTGAAATGTCTGACAGGCAGGCTGTCATATAGTATAGGCTGTAGTATATATAATAATATTGTGTAATATCAGGGCTGATATTGGAAAACCGTACATTGCTATATTTAAATTTTCTGCCATTTATATTGCAATTTTTTTTACTAAATGAGTCATTATCACGATAAAGTGCCTTTGACACATCAAAATAAAAAAAGTTTTAGATTTTTTATTTAACCACATTTTTGTATTAATTGGACCTTAGACTGTGAGAAATGAATGTTGGTCAAGCTCCTGCACTTTTTACAAATAATCTGCAAGCGGAAAAACAGTAAACAAATCTCAAAATATTTCAACCCTGTCATTGACTAATTCAATTTAGTATAAGTATTTTTGTTCATTGCAATGTGATTTTAAAATGTATATTCAGAAAGAAAATGTGTCCTTGTACCAACTTAACTTTATAGATTATGGAAAAAATCTATTTATATTAATAATCGACAAACCATTTATTTCCCAGTAAAATATGCAGTCATTGCACACTGTTTTCAAATCAAGATCCAAAATCTAGAGTATTTTGTCAAACTTTCAAACAATATTAACTGGCCCTCGTTGGTAATGAAGAAATCACACAAGATGTTTGGCTGAGGTTATTAATAATTTGTTTATCTTCATAAAAAACAAGATGACAGGGTGAACATTGGCATAACAGGCCGGACAAAGGCTATATTTAGTGAACTAAATATAAAGGAACCATTAAAAAAACAACAGGTACAACAAGAAGCATTAAAGGGTTCATATAAAAAGGTTGAAAAAGTTTTCATGAATTTAACTTTTGTTTTCTTTAACTACTGCAAACCACTGTGCCACCATGCCGCCTCTTCTGTTATAAATTAGGTTTCATCAATATGCAAATGAATGGGAAAATAAACAGTTATTGTCCTTCAAATTATATTAAATTTGCTAATGAATGTAAATCTTTACATTGTTCATTGTATTGGAGGAGTGAAGGGAATGCTGGAAGCAACTCAAGTTAAACACCTTAATAATACTGGTTTGTTTTGTTTTCAGAATAAGGTAAATAATTAGATTACAGATGTTCACATAAACGTACAAACACTTGGGGCTGTATTTTTATTTCAAACAGCCAATGAGCTCCATTATATGGACTTTAGAGGATATCTTTTATATAGACTGAGACATATATTGCCAAAAGGTTTGTCCACTCATTGCATCTACTGGTGTAGTATGTGTGTGGATTAGTGTTGTAACATTAAACATTAATCAATTAACAACAAAATTGTTAAATAAATAAAGATAACATTATTCAACACAGGTTGTACCTGCAGCTGGCAAAGTGTTTCCCTATTTAAGCTCTTTGTACACAATTTAAAAGCTATATTTTGGATTTCTGAATTGTTTTATATTAATAATATTTGACTATGACAGGGTGGACATGTTATGCTTGACAACATTCAGTTTCAAACTCAATATGAGGAAAAATAGAAAAGATAGTTACTATGTGCACAGCAGATGTTTTAACCTCCACTGCAGAAAGGTAAATGGGCATGGGGATGCCAATGAGTACATCAGAGGGTTTCTTAAAGAGGCATTTACCATATCATGACAAAGGGGACAGCGATTTCAAGGACACGTGCAAAATTATTAATAAAATTAATAAAAGTAAAAAATAACTTGTTAAAGACAATAAGAATACTCCAAAATCTTTTTAATTTGATCAAATTTACCTACTTTTTACACTCACTGAATTTGGCTGAGCAGTGTGCGAGACATGGCAAAATCACATCCATTCAATGAAAGACTATGGCAAAAATTGACAAAAACATACTTCAAAACACTGATCATTCTACCTGCATGTGTGTAAAGGTTTAACCAGTTATATCAAAACATCACAATTTCCTTATTCCTCGTTATGTTCATGTAGGACTGGTTCAATCTTGTGGGACATCAAAGGCACTTTATAATGACAATGACCCGTTTATTAATAATAAAATATTGATTAATATTGATAAATATTGATATCCTAAATATTGATTTGGATGTTTTTGTAGGGTGTGGATCCAATATAATGAACAAATTACAAGCAGAGATAAATAGTGCAAAACATAAGAGGAGGAATTAATAAATAGTATCTGGATGCAGCCTTTATGATGCAAGCTGAGATTGCATCACTCAGCGATGCAATGTCAGACCCAATGCACTCAACGGAGTGAGCGACATCACTGTGACGGGTAGGGTTAGGGGTGGGGTTAGGTGAGCGCATTAAAAAGCATTGGATGCAGCTCAGATTGCACTGCACCATGTCTGCAGCCAGACCGCTCTGGTATACAGTATACAGTACAGAAATAAAACGTACATTAAAGCTGTACAGTACATTCTTCATTGTGTAAATAATTACATAAAATTAATCTTTGTTAAAGCTATAATCGAAATAATGTGCTCAAATGCTGTAAACTCGCTTAAAATGTTAGCACAGGCCGTAAAAACACAAGCAACTAATAAACTTTGACTTTATTTTATAGTTGAACGGAAATGACTAAATAAACTAAATTTGCCATAGTATCTGTGTGTGAATGAGTGTGTATGGGTGTTTCCCAGTACTGGGTTGCAGCTGGAAAGGCATCTGATGTGTAAAACATGTGCTGAATAAGTTGGCAGTTCATTCAGCTGTGGTTACCCCAGATGAATAAAGGGACTAAGCCGAAGGAAAATTAATGAATGAAAAGAAAGAAACTCAAAAATGTTTGTAGTAAAGGATAACTTAATTCTCCTAAAACTCCATCTGACACACGCGCCACTGGCCCTTTAAGAGCGTGTCCCAGAGTGCCTTGCGTTTGCTAAACGTAAACAAACCCGCGTTACCGAAAGTGAATGGATTGATTAAAGCTGCTGCGACTCGTTATTCATCACCACACAGCCTCTAAACACAAGAGACAGCAGTGCAACAAGCTTTTAAGTTTTTTTCTTAGTCATAAACTACACATGATGTAGCATTTTGCTAAATATTGAGCAACATGACACATAGACCTAATCAAACAGTCTTATATTAAGTCGTGCTCTTTAAATAGGTTTTATCTACTGTTTAAAACATCTTACACTGTAAATTACACGAGCAGATTGAAAGTATAGCGTATGGCAAAATATACTGTAGAGCGTTCATTTATAATGACAACACGGAAGAGAAATAAACCTTCATTACCTGAGTCAGATTCTGATAAGACTGAATGTGAAGCTGCCAAGAGACTCGCGCATTGTCAGTCTGACATGAACACTGTGGGCCATAATGATCCTCTTCATCATCATCTCAGCCCTTATTTCTCGATGAGACACTCTCCCAGACTGACGTACAGCTTTTTCAATCAGCCCTGCGTCGAGCTGGCCAAGGCTTTTCTCGGCAAGGTAATATGATTAACTTAATTTTAGAAAATCATTTCATTGACTTATGAAAATGAACCAAAGCATAGTTAAATGATTGTAACGTTAACCATGTTGTATTCCTATAGTGTTTACCCTTTAGTATAACCACACATTTACTACACATACCAGTTTGGTTAAAGTGTAGCAAAACTAGGATGGATTTGTGGTTTACTTGGTTTATTTTTACATGGATTTATTTAATTTGTAGTAAAACCACGTTACATTTATGTAAGAATAGGCTACATTTACCGGCCACTTTATTAGGTACACCTTACTATTGCTGGGTTAGACCCCCTTTTGCCTTCAGAACTGACTTAATCCTTTGTGTCAAGGATTCAACAAGGTTTTAATATTCCTTAGAAATTTTGGTGCATATTGACACGATGGTCAATATTGTAAGAAAACACCATTACACCACCACCACTAGCCTGAAACGATGACACAGTTTCACAGTTTCATCTTTGGGTAAAACAACACTAACTTTCCCCTCTCACTTACAGTAATATCCAGCTGAGCACAGTGTCTTCATGACTTGATTTAACCGGGATCTGCTACAGTGTTTGTCTGTTTGTGGGCAGGGCCACAGGTTAAAATTTTCCTGGGTGTGCATGCGCAACAATTGGGCGGGGCTTTCGTATCGACATCACCCCAAAACGGCTTAAGACACATTGGCTGTTTCTCAATTCCAAGAACGCAGAAAACAGACTTGCGTTCTTGTGGAGACTGGTCTTGCCAGGTGTCCTCGGAAGAACGAACTCAGGAGACCGCGAGGGCAGAGAACGCATCCTTTGAGAAATGGGATGCTGCGTTCTTCCTGATGGTCACGTGACCTTCACGTGTTTTAAATGGAAATTATTTAAACATTACGGCACTCATACAACAATTTATTGTTTTCCCCCTCTTCAAAATATATACTTTGCATAAAAACATTATAAATATACTCTGCAGAATATGAATAAAACAGATTTTAATACGAATTTCAGCAAACAAACACCCTTAATGTGTTTATTCCTTTATTAAGATATTCATGTTGATGTTTACTTTGACCGTTTCATTTAGGGAAACTCCTAGGGTAAACAAGTGATATCTCTGAACTTTAATAATAAATCTAAATAAAATGCTGCGCTTCCCACCTCCAGTCGCAATGACTTCTAGGACTTCCAGAGCGGGTTTGGTGCTCAAGTCTGCATCAGTGCGTCCTCGATATCAAGATCACATCCGGGAAGTTTCACGCGTCCTCCGTACTTGCAGTCTTGAGTATAGACCAATTACCATGTTTGTAAACATTCAGGATGCGCGCGCAGGGAGGTGGCAGAAAGCAACCGGGAGCCCTAGCATTTACAACGAGGGAATGGCATCAGATGCGGTGCAGTTTGTTGTTGTCTTAGAAATAAGATATATTACTTAACATATTATATATATTATTTACATAATGCTTACAGCATATTATAACAGCTCGTCACCCAGTGACAAGCACAGTGATTCAGCAAAATTAACGTTGATGGATATTGGATAAGACGAAATGACCAAGCATTCAGCCCGAAATATACAAACTCAATGAAGCTCCAAGTGATTTTACAAAAGAGAAGTCAAAGGTCTACAAGTCTTTGGATGCCAACAATGTTGTTCTTTGAGGTCATGTGCAATAAATAATGCTCCATGATGACCAGATTCAAAAGCTAAACACAGAGATTCCGCCTAGCCAAAGACAAGGAAACAAGACGGAGCTAACGTTATACAAGGCCTGGGTAATTAACCACCAACACGCAAAACGACTGCATTCTGACAGCGAACTACACCTGTACAGCAGGGTATGTGAACCTACACATAAAGGTAAAGTTGGTTTTATATTCGCACATTCAGACTTTCTCCTTAATAATATAATTTCATAAAAAAATATTATTTCCAAACTCTAAATAGCTAAATCATAATAGCAAAAGCTAATGAAGTACAACATTGTTCACAGTCAAATAAACAGTGTTAATGTTGTTTTCAAGTCACACTTGCAGGTTATTTCAGACCGAATATTCAAAGTGCTGTGGTAAACAATATAGGAAGTTTGTCACAAGTTGTCACTTAATGAATGTGTGAATATAAAACTAAGTTTACCTTAATAAAAGTAACTTTCACTTTTCATTCTTAGCATTCAGTGTCCTCAGTTTAATTCACCATATGTAACTGTTTTTGCTGAAATAATTTCTGCAATCAAAAACGAGTAATGAGTATGATTCAGCATAGCGTGAACTGACCTGATATGACATGAGAACTGCAGAGTCTAGCATTTCTAATTAGCTCCTCACTTCATTCAGCTCCCATTTAGCCAAAGACGTCTGCAGTCGGTATTAAAGCAATGTGTGGTGTATGGTAAAAGTTAAGTTTTCAATTTTTGGACTCGAATTCGGCATCCTACCACACAACACGACATCTTTCCCATTGCAGCCTGTCTGTTTTTTGCAACCGGGGACCTGTGTAACATCATGTGTGACGTAGGTTGATAATTGGTCTATTGGAACTGAACTTAGGCAGCTGATGATGACGTTGCACGAGAACACGAGGACGCAAGACCGCTGAAGAACGCATATTGAGAAACAGCCAGTGTCAAGATGATTTATTTGAAGCACTATGAGTCGACTTTTTTATAATTGAATCATTAGTTTTATACACTTTACACTTTCAGATTTAAGCCTTTGCTGGATATTTCACTTCACTTAGAGCTGTGTTACACACTACATGGAAGGTAATTTTCAAAAACCTATAATAGGGGCTCTTTAAAGGCTTAACTAGGTTAATTAGGTTAACTAGGCAGGTTAGGGTAATTAGGCAAGTCATTGCATACCAGTGGTTTGTTCTTTAGGCAATTTAAAAAATATATATGGCTTAAGAGGGCTAATAATATTGACCCTAAAATTTATTTTAAACATTAAACCTGCTTTTATTCTAGCCAAGATAAAACAAATAAGACTTTCTCCAGAAGAAATGATATTATGAGAAATACTGTAAGTCAAGGCAAGTTTATTTATATAACACATTTTATACACAGTGGTAATTCAAAGTGCTTTACACAAACAGGAACAAAAGAGACAAGTAAAAGAAAATAAAAACAAATAATAAAAGTAAATAAAAACAGATTAAAATGTGTTAAAACCAAGTGGCAACCTCCCTCTCTCTCTCTCTTGTGAAGCCAATACGGAAGTAACTGAAACTGCAATTCATTGAGTCTGCATAACTAAGGGCGTGGCTGCTAGGTCTTAACCATCATTCACAGGAGGGCTAATAATTTTGACTTCAGCTGTATATACACCATATAAATTATATTATATTCACATATACTGTATATATATATATATATATATATATATATATATATATATATATATATATATATATATATACATACACACACACACACACACACACACATATAAGACACACATTAAAAAGGTATATACACTAAAAAGGTATACATATATTTTTATTATTATTAGTTTTTCCCCCAAAATCATATGATATTTTCTGAAAGAAAGGCTTAAAAGTGTAATCCTTCTCCTGTCAAACCAGACTGAAAACACCCCCAAGCCTAAAAACACTAACAGGAACTGTGTTGAAATCATGAATTGACGCCCAGAAATGAGTAACAGCCCAAGCAACAGTCACTACTCCTTGGCCAGAAACTCATTTCTGACTCCATAGAAGAAAATGTTTCTGCAAAGCCACAAAGTTGCGCGAGAGCCTAGTAAAGTGACAGATTTAAGTGTAAATGTGAAGATGTAAAGTTGTAAATGGCTCTCCCTTATGAGCGTGAACTTGTTTGAAAGACAGAGTTAAAGGAAGGAAATAAGTCTTTTAGTCCAGGGCACAGAATAGACCTGAACGGACACACAGGGGCCTAATTTGCATTTTAATGAGGTTTAAAATGGAACGAAGGCTGCAGAAATCCCACAGAATTAGCCACACTGCTCTGTGAGAGTTTCCGTTTCGGGTTCAGTTATAGCCAGCACAAAGAAAGCATCGTCTTGTTAGTTTCTAGTGTGCTGTGGTGTAAATATAAAGTGTTTAATGAGATGCACGTTTAAGGGCATCCGGTGTGAGCATTGATAGTTTGCTTAGCATGACCGAGCACAGTTTAGCTTGACAACATGCAGCTGGCGAGAATAAGGTGTATGGCAAGCCATTTCTAAATTTATCACCAATCTTTTATATTTACAGTTTCATTTTGTTTCTAAAAACTTCCTTCTTTTTATATGAAGAAATGTTTTTTTATTATTAAATGTTGTATGGCAAGTTGAACTTTTAATTCACAGGATGCAGGATACGAGTTCTTAAAGGGATAGTTCACCAAAAAATGAAAATGTACCCACCATTTACTCACAATAAATTCATTCAATTCAAGAGTATTTGTATAGCGCTTTTTACAATAATTGGTGCACATTACTGCATTACAATTATATATAAGTTACTATAGTTAACCTGCAATTTTATAGCATATAAGACACTATAAGTATACGTGTTTGAGTTGTCCTTGATGGTAAACATCATTTCACCCTCAAGTGGTTTCAAACTAGGGCTGTACAATTCTGACTGAGAATCATGATTTCACCAGCAGGCGAATTATTATTGTTATTTCTCAAACTTATGGTAAAATAACAATAATAATACTATAGTGAGTATAGTAATAATACACTACTGAGTGCTCCTCATGTCATGGCTGCCATCACTTTGAGAAAAACAAAAACATATATGCAGATCATACTTCCCACACGGCTCCCAAACGATCACTTGGTGCACACAACTGAACATTATTTACAACTTTATTACCTGTTATTCAAAGCCTTCGCAGGTTCTGTTCACCGAAGTAGATGCGAGCACGCGCATCCTCTCTGCTAAATGCACAGATCACGGTCAGCTCATGTGTGATGACATTTTGGGGTGAATTATACATTATAAATACAGTATGTGACTCATTCAATGCCATTTGGAGGTGTCCACATTGCTGAGCAACGTATGTAAAACAATGAGAAGACTTGTGCATCCGCCTTTACGCTTCTCTTCTGACCTTGAAAATATAATTGGCTGAATCATAGAAATGCTGGGTTAAGATTGTGTGGGGGCTCGAATCAAGATCGCAATTTTTTTTTTAGATTAATCATGAAGGCCTGTTTCATGCCTTTACTTTTTCTGTTGAACCCAAAAGAAATTATTTTGAAAATTAAATTGTTAGAAATCTTTAACCCTTGACTTCAATTGTTGGAAAAACAAATACTATGGAATTCAATGGTTTTTCACTATTTTTCTATATAATAATATTAATAATAATAATTTGTTTAACAGAAGAAACACTCAGACACATTTATGACATGTACAGGGTGAGTAAATGATCACAGATTTTCAGTTTTGCTGAACTCTTGAATATCAACAGTTCTGTTTTCACTAGTTAAAATGCAAGTTTTTATATAGCCTCCCTTTGAATTTTTTTTCTTTTTAAAATATTTCCCAAATGATGTTTGACAGAGCAAGGAAATGTTCACAGAATGTCTAATAATGTTTTTCCTTCTGGAGAAAGTCTCATTTGTTTTATTTCGGCTCGAATAAAAACAGTTTTTAATTTTTTAAAAACCATTTTAGGGTCAAAAGTATTAGCTAGTCTAGTCAAATTTTTTTACTGTCATCATGGCAAAGATAAAATAAATGAGTTATTAGAAATGAGCTATTAAAACTATTGTTTATAAATGTGTTGAAAAAATATTCTCTCTGTTGAACAGAAATTGGGAATAAAAACAAATGGGGCTAAGAATTCAGGGGGTTTAATAAATCTGATTGCAACTGTATATCACACTAGCGCCTTTGTCTATTCTTGACATCAACAGTTGAACTGCTATTAGTAATCATTTTTGATGTTGGTATAATATTGCAACTAACTTCATTTCTCATAACCTAAATGTGAATTTTTCAAGTAAAAAATGCACTTCAAATACCTGAAATGACTAATTACTAATAGAAGTCAGAAATACATACATACAGTATGAAGAATTAGCTTTTCAACCGGTCAACATTAAGTCATTAATAATATGAAGAACTCAAATCCTGTGAATGGCTGAATGTGAAATAACTGAATGTGAAATGGGCTTGCCATAGAAGGTGACTCTTGTGGCTTTCACACTCTGCAGCACTTAAACATCATCATGTTTGCTTCACCAAACTGCAAAACTGACCGGAGCTTCTTTTAGCGCCTTTTTAGCAACCTTATATAGAATACGTGAACCAAAACAAACCTGCAATGAACGAGCACAGACCTGAGGGTTACTGTAAGATTCTTTTAATGAGAGATCGGTAATTGCTTCTTAAATTTATTAGCTCCACCATCTTGTTCATTCAAGCTTGAATTCAGTTCAGCATGTTCAAATGTTAAGTGGCAAAGTCAAAGAGAAATAGTATTAATAAACCCACAATGTATTTGTTTCTAAAGTAAGGTATGCAAAACTTTTCAATAAAGTCCTTAGAAATGCTCAGGTAAGTCATTTTCATCTATTTGGGGGGGTAGTAGGATAGTAGGATTTAGGCACTGTTATAAGGAATGAGGTACTATTTAAAAGCACCACTAAACTACTAGCATGTGCAATCTAATGTCTGTCAGTAGATGTAATTCTTTGGCTTATTTGCGCCCCCTGCTGGGGGTGAGATTACTGTACAGATACATTCATTCTTTTTGTGTGCATGTATGTGTGTGTGTGGTTTAGGTGTTGGTGAGGAAACTAACTGATGGCACTGAGCTCAGAGGAAAGATTGTGGAAACCGAAGCATATTTGGGTGGCGAAGATAAGGCCTCCCATTCGGCAGGAGGAAAGCGCACCGAGAGGAACACGGCAATGTTCATGAAACCCGGTACTATCTATGTCTATCCCATCTACGGCATCTACCTCTGCATGAACGTCTCCAGCCAAGGTAATTCACCTCATGTATGTAACAAGTCTGACAGCACATATCAGTTTCTGGTGCAGCTTTAGATGGCAGAACTGGAAAACAAATGTGGCCCTGGACCACAAAACAGTGCAGTGGCGCAGTAGGTAGTGGTGTCGCCTCACAGCAAGAAGGTCGCTGAGTCGCTGGTTCGAACCTCGGCTCAGTTGGCGTTTCTGTGTGGAGTTTGCATGTTTTCCCTGCCTTCACGTGGGTTTCCTCCGGGTGCTCTGGTTTCCCCCACAGTCCAAAGACATGCGGTACAGGTGAATTGGGTAGACTAAATTGTCCGTAGTGTATGAGTGTGTGTGTGAATGTGAGTGTGAAGGTTTCCCAGAGATAGGTTGCGGCTGGAAGGGCATACGCTGCGTAAAAACTTGATGGATAAATTGGCGGTTCATTCCGCTGTGGCGACTCCAGATTAATAAAGGGACTAAGCCGACAAGAAAATGAATAAATGAATTTTTTTATATTTACTGTTACTCTAAAGTCTAAAAGTGAAGAATTGATGTTATTTCTTTGATTGTTCAAGCTTCCTCACAGAAGTGCTTTGCTGGTTAACAGAGCAGTTGAATGTTAAAATAAGGTAAATAAATAAAAAATAAGGAACATCCTGAATCTGTTTCTTTGCTCTTCTTTTTTAATGTGTTATAGAAGTATCGAATGAGGATTCGGTATCGGTAGATACTCAAAATCAAGTCTCGAGGGCAAAAAAACTGATCTGGACATCCCTAATATTAAGCTTACAGTCAGCGCACAGTGAAATTTGACAATCAGATTTTAAATTTGACAGTCAGATTAAAGCGGTAGTTAAAGCTAGCTTTTTTTCAATTAAGACAACTTGCAAAAATAAAGCAATATACACCAAATCAGTTTTAGACAGTAATCCATGCTTTCATAACCACTCGCTTAGATTACTGTAATGCACTGTATATGGGGAGCAGCAGGTCAGCTATTGCCTGTTTGCAAATGGATAAAATGCTGCAGCACGCCTGTTATCTGGTATTTGCAAATATGACTAGGCATGGGCCGGTTTAAAATATCACGATTTCATGGTTTTACAATACTTTAATTACTGCTCTAAAATATTTTCTTTTTAAATGTCTGGTTAAAAAAAAAAAAAAAACTTTCCCCCTTTGAACACAATGCATTTTATTTTGAGAAACTTTTAAAATATTTTTTGAGGCTAAATAATTATAAAAAATGATAAATGAATGATAATAAAAAATTCAGCTGTTTTCATGTTTCAAAAACACAGATTTTTTTATTATTTAAAATGCCCTCTTTGGATATCTTTTCTGCTGGAGATACTGTTGTCCTAAAAAACTTAAAACAAAATGTAAATAAAAATTTTTACACATATCTTAGGAAGGGTATTACAGAAAATTTTGGCGGTTTTATTACATTGACTTTTCCAAATCGCAGTATACCTTGAAAATGGTTATCCTCCCATACCTAAATATGACCATATATCCCCACGTTATGATCTAAGATGATTTGGCAGATCCTGGATCTTTTAATCTAGATCACTGATCTCTGGCTAATTTGTTTTTTCAAACAAGTTCGTGAATCAGATTAAAAATGTTTGGATAAACTGATCTGATATCGCTGTGTGTGTTGTGAAGGAGAAATCAATCGATTCTCGAAATCATGATCAGAAATGCAACGATTGGCTGACGGCACAGCAGCGTAATGACATCATCTGATTAATATTCAATTATCCATGAGAGCAAAATTACATAAAATTCATAGGAAATGGTTTGTTAATTGAATATGCGAAAACTTTTCACATGTATAGTGGGCTGCAGGCTTTACACTTTCATGTGTCAAGAGCATTTAGCAATTTATTTAGTTTTACATTTAGAACGGATTTTCTTTATTATAATAGCCATAGTAGTATTATAAAAGGCCGGTTTCTTAATTGGTGTAAAGAATAAATGGACGTTTAAATTAATTTAACATTACAAAAGCCTTTTTTGTTGGTAAAGGTGTCTGCAACTTTTGTGAAGCATCAAATCAGTCGTATTAACTGTCAAAACATGTTTATGACTGCACAAATGAAGTATTCCTTAAAGAAAAAAAAAAAGTTGATTATAGTGGAAATTATCATACACAAATTGTACTAAAAATATTGTATGCGTTTGTATCAAAAAAGTTAAAATCAATAATTTTTTCTATTTAAACCACCATGAGACAGTCTTTGTACTTTTATTTCGGAGTGCAGATTGCATAAGTTTTATTGATATATATATTTTTTTTTACTTTATATATAGTTTAAAATATATATATTTACTATATTCACGTGAATATAACTACTACTGTAAGAAAATATCAGAATTCTGTACATACTTTCTGTATTATCTTTGCTTTAACTGACCCGATCTAATTCTGTTTATATAAATTGAACCTGTTTCCGAGCAGATTTGAGCTAGCAGAACTGTTGCTATGACAACAAGTCTTGGATGATTTTTGAAGAACGAAACGATCCTGGATCGTGTCAAATCGTCAATAACTAAATCCTGCTAACTGAGAAATCCACGTACGAAGAACAGACCCCTGATCCTAATACCTGGTTATCTTAATTTATGTGCTTATCTTCTATTTTATGTACTATTGTATTTGTTTTGTTGTATATTTTCTGTACAGCACTTTGGCTCACTTCTAAAAGTGCTCTAAAAATAAAGTTTGACTTGACCCTTGACTTGTTCCAAACCATTCATTCATACATTTTCTTTTCGGCTTAGTCCCTTTGTTAATCCAGGGTCACCACAGCAGAATGAACCGCCAACTTATCCAGCACGTTTTTATGCTGCGGATGCCCTTCCAGCCACAACCCATCACTGGCAAAAATTCCACACAGAAACACCAACTGACAAGACTCGAACCAGCGACCTTCTTGCTGTGAGGCGACAGCACTACCTACTGCGCCACTGCGTCGCCTGTTCCAAACCAGTTTGAGTTTATTTATTCTGTCAAAAACACAAAAGAAGATATTTTGTTGAATGTTGTGATAGCCATTGACCACCACAGTATTTGTTTTTGCTACTATGTATGTCAATGCCTACCGGTTTCCATCATTCTTCAAAATATCTTCACGAGAGTCAAGAGTGAGTAAATAATGACATATTTGGGTGAACTACCACTTTGAAAACTAAAATGGGTCTCCTTGTTCAAAATTGTCACTAGAAGCTTGGACCCAGAGCCAGTATTCCATACGTCAGACAAATTAACAAGCAGAAGAATTCTTCGCAGGAGCCGGAAAACTGCAACCACAAGATCCCTCACCGCCAGTTGTGCAAGAAAACAAGTGTTTTGTTTTGCTGCCGTTTCCAACTGCTTCTCATTATAGGTCAAACTGGCGCATTAAATAAACCTAGAGAAAGGGTTGGAGCACATGTGCAGGAGCCAGCAGGAAGGAGACAGCGTGGAGCCTCGCTAACTGCTTTACTCTATGTGTGTGTTTAGGGGAAGGGGCGGCTGTGCTTCTGCGCTCGCTGGAGCCTCTGAGTGGTCAGGATGTCATGAGGGGCCTGCGAGCGGCCAAACGCAAGCCTGGAGCCAAAAGCCTTAAGGACAAAGAGCTCTGCAATGGCCCGTCCAAGTTATGCCAAGCTCTGGATATACAGCGCTCTTTCGACCGCAGGGATCTGGCAACCGATGTTGAGGTGTGGCTGGAGATGGACCCAGAAAAAGAGGCCATCGTTGATGCTGGAGAAGTGGTGATGGCGCCACGGATTGGAGTTGACTCTCACGGAGAATGGGCAACCAAACCGCTGCGCTTCTACCTGAGGGGACACCCGTGTGTGAGCGTGTTGAACAAAGATGCAGAGCGGCGAATGGACTCGCAATCTGACACAGAGCGGACAGTCTGCTGAAAGGTCATCCTGGTGTTTGTTTGTTCTTAAATTAAGCTTTAACTCACTTTTGTGTCATTTCAATCCCATAAAACAAAATGAGACATTTAGAAGAATGTCTCAGCAGCTCATTTCTATATTACTAAGTCTTTACAAAAATTTTGAGGTCAGTATTTGTTTCCTGGGTAGAAATCAGAAGGTGTAATAACATTTTAATGACATAACTTTTTCAGGGAAACAAAAGTCTTGAACAGAAATAATAAATTCATGAAATTATTTGATGTAAAACACAAGCCTGGAGCCAAAAGCCTTAAGGATAGAGAGCTCTGCAATGGCCCATCGAAGTTATACCAAGCTCTGGATATACAGCACTGCTTTAACCACAGGGATCTGGCAACCGATGCTGAGGTGTGGCTGAAGATGGACCCAGAAAGAGACCAACGTTGGTGATGGCGCCACAGCTTGGAGTTGAGTTAGAGGACACCCGTGTGTGAGTGTGTTGAACAAAACACACACACACTTCCTGCTAAAAAGGTCATCCTGGTGTTTGTTCTTAAATTAAGCTTTTAACTCACTATTGTGTCATTCCAAACCTGTAGAACACAAAATGAGATGTTAAGAAGAATGTCTAAGCGGCTCATTTCTATATTACTAAGTCTTTATCAAAATTTTGCGGTCAGTATTTGTTTCCTGGGTTAAAATCAGAAGGTGTAATAACATTTTAATGATTACGTTTTAGGAGAAAACAAAAGTCTCAAATAGGAATAATAATAAGTACATGATATTACTTTATTTCAAACGCAAGCCTGGAGCTAAAAGCTCTAAGGACAGAGAGTTCTGCAATGGCCCGTTCAAGTTATGCCAAGCTCTGGATTTACAGCGCTGCTTTGACCGCAGGGATCTGGCAACTGATGCCAACATGTGGCTGGACCCAGAAAAAGAGACCATCATTAGAGCTGACGTCATCACGGCTTGGAGTTGAGTCTCATGGAGAATAGGCAACCAAACCACTGAGGGGACACCCGTGTGTTGAACAAAGATGCAGAGCGGTGGATAAACTCGCAATCTGACACAGAGCGGACAGTCTGCTGAAAGATCATCCTGGTGTTCTTCAATTAAGCTTTTAACTCACTATTGTGTCATTTCAAAACCATAAAACTAAATGAGACATTTAGAAGAATGTCCAAGCTGCTCTTTTTAATACTCAGTCAAAATTACTTTGAGGTCAGTATTTGTTTCCTTGGGTAAAACCAGAAGGTCTAACAACATTTTAATATCATAAAAACTTTTTAGGAGAAACAAAAGTCTCAAACAGAAATAATAATAATAAAAACATGATATTATTTTATTTAAAACAACAGCACAAAAGAATTTTGCAAAAGTTTAATACAGTCTTTACAATACTTAACATTTTCAGGGTCAGTAAAATTACTTTGTTAGGTAAACTATTTATAAATTGACACGCTTGAGGTTTCTTGTTATTATAATAATATAATAATAATATCTGTGTCTACTAAAACCACAAAGTTTTTAGTTCGCCTAAAAATAAAAGAAATTGGTGATAATTTATTAACTCGCAAGAAATTCAAGTTGCAGGTAACACTTCCTTTAGTACAACTTTAAAGGAAATGTTTTAGCTGAAACCATGGTGCTTGGTGATTCAAAATGGCAAGCTAATGGCAAATAGCACATTTGGAGTCATAAAAAAAGACAAATAGATTCAAAATAAAAGTTAATACTTGTGGTGCCTGATTATACATTGAGGTTAAACAAAACAAATCTGCCTGTGTGTAACTTACTTCTAATCAAAGTAATAATATATGTATTACAGTGTTATTACTGGTTATCTATTGTCTCAACAAACTGAATGAATCATGAGATTGCCTTTAACAACTTAAAACCTACATAAAAAAATGTGAATAAAACATCTAAAGGGGGCGAGGCAGTGGCGCAGTAGGTAGTGGTGTCGCCTCACAGCAAGAAGGTCGCTGGGTCCAACCTCAGCTCAGTTGGCGTCTCTGTGTGGAGTTTGCATGTTCTCCCTGCATTCATGTGGGTTTTCTCCGGGTGCTCCGGTTTCCCCCACAGTCCAAAGACATGCGGTACAGGTGAATTGGGTAGGCTAAATTGTCCGTAGTGTATGAGTGTGTGTGAATGTGTGTATGGATGTTTCCCAGAGATGGGTTGCGGCTGGAAGGGCATCCGCTGCATAAAAACTTGCTGGATAAGTTGGCGGTTCATTCCGCTGTGGCGACCCCAGATTAATAAAGGGACTAAGCTGACAAGAAAATGAATGAATGAACATCTAAAATGATTATTAATCTTTTATTGAACAATTATTTTTAAGAATTATAAATTAACAATAAATGAATGGGTGAATGGACAGGGTGATTGGATCTTGAAAGTCCTCAGTGGTCTTTTTACTGTATTGAGGTACAAAATAACTAAAAGCAAAGTCACACAGGTTTGGTATGACATAAATAATTGAGTTTGAGCTCTGAACATGTCTGTTATTTCAGTAAGAGCATGTTGCTTTGTTAAATAGTCCTGTTATTCCTGGTGCTCATTGATTTTGCAGATGTTTGGAAACCTATTTGCACCTCAGGGCTATTACAGCCTCCTTTTTTCTTCTTCTTCTTCTTCTGGGCCTCCATTTCTCCACACTGAATTCCTCGGGGCATTCAGTCTGGAATTAACATCATGGCATCATGTGTTTTTAGTCTTGTTCGCTTGAAGAGATGATTTATCACATTTGGGAACGAGCTCCAAACAGGAGATGCTTGGATGGGATACTTAAACCATCCATTTAACGACTGCCCAAGGATGAACCGCACATCACGACCCCTGGATCGTTTATTAAAATAAACCACGTATGAGGTAAAAACATTAAAGGGAAAATCTTTGGTAAACAAGAGTTATGGACAGTAGATTATGCAAGGCTCATTAATAAGGCTCTTATGAAGCTGAGATGTTCATTAACTGGTCACAGCTCAAAATTAGTTTAAGCTACCGATGAAGATCAGACAGTTGACAGCCTCCTCACACTCACTTTACTGTTGGTTTACTCTGGTGGAGACTGGAACAGAGAGATGATGGGGTCCTCGTGGTTGGTGATCACCAACACACTGCGAAACTTGTCAAATAAAGTCTTCAGCTGTGAGCGGCGCAGGTTCTCGTTGTACATGATCTCCTCTAGGTGATGATGGCCCCTGAAGTAATGCAGCAGCCTAAAGAAAGACAACAGCACAAGCCACTGTTACAATTACTCTAATAATCAATGTTTAAATCAGATTGATGGACCAGTCAGACTGAAACGTAAGCATATCAGTTTATCACACTGGATAGATGTTTCTATCAGACTGAACGGGATAGCATACATTTGATCAATGGAAAAAGGTCTGTTTAGAGGATAACTGTTGGTGTCTTTCTGAATGAGTCAGGAACTTTGGGTCTATGGAGGATGAGGAAGCTCTCAGATTTCATCTAAAATACCTTCATTTGTGTTCTGAAGACAAATGAAAGTCTGAGGGGTTTGGAAACACATGAGAGTAAGATATTGATAGTGGTGGGCAAAGCGAGGCTTCACGAAACACTTGACAGAATTGTGTCGATGCTTTGAAATGTTTCGAAGCTCTTCTCTACAGTGTCACCTAGTGGTCATTTCATGTAATGCTCTGGAACAGCTTAAGCAAAGAAACAGTTAAGCAAATCGAGGTGTTAAACCCCATATTGTAGAGTTGAGGATTCAAGTCGTTTGGTGAAGCGGTGAGAGTAATGGGTTTGAATCCAGGGTGATGCAGCTATAGAGCTTAGTTTTTAAATGCTCTGTTCTTGTAACATGTTTTGTTTTAACATTGATCTGACAACCGAATGAACACTTTGGGAATAAATATGTCTTGCTTTGGTCATAAAAAAGTAACATTATTAAAATACATCAAGTCATAATTTCACAACATTTGTATAAGTTGGGATTCGAACTTGGGCCATTTGCAGTACAATTACTCTGTGCACAGGCACGGTCCAATAGACTGCATGAAATAGATTTTTCTTCCGACCCTGTCAGTCAAAGGCAGATTCACCAGGGGCCTCATGTACGAAGACTTGCGTGGAAATCTTACTAAAACATTGCGTACGCACAAAGCTGTAAATGTGCGTACGCAGAAAAAATTTCAGATGTATGAAACACTGCGTACGCCGAATCTCACGCATATTCTTTTGTACATATGAATGAACGTGAAACTGAGCGCAACATGCACGAGCACAAAACCCCTCCCTGCCTCCTCCCCCGTATGAATATGCTAATGACTATGCTAATGGCAAAACCCAACGAAAAAGCAAAGGCAAAAGCAAGCAAAAAGAGAAACTTTGAACAGAATGTGAATTGGAGGTGCTGCTTTCGGAGGTAGACCGGAGAAAAGCGGTGTTATTTGCAAGTTTGTTCTCCGGAATTAACAACAAAAGAAAAAAACAGAGTGGGACAGTTTAGCTGATGCGGTTAACACAGTTGGGTCTGAACATATCGCACTGAGTGCATTTAAAAAAAAAGAAATAGTGTGGTTTATATCTGTAAAATGTTGCATGACGCTTAACACTCTCAGTGGCGCGCTCGTAAGACGCTTGTGATCATGAATTGATACGTTCGAGCATGAGCTCGGCTCGAATCCAGCGTCTGATGAACTCTTTCTTGTTTTTTCCCCCGCAACATATCAGATTTTGCCAACTATTTATCACGAGAAAGACAAGTAGGAATCATCAATAAGTTCATATCAATAAGCATCATATTTTATTTGCACATTTATTGAATGGAAATGTTTCTGATTCACGCATGCAAATTCATCTTCAGATAGTGTCTTTATAGCAATGTGCGTGCGGTAGACAGCTCAGATTACATTGGGAAAACAGGTGACCGCTGCAAATTGTGCTTTAATGTTTAGCTGGTCAAATGTATGGTATGGAAACCTTATATACCTGCTGAACCCGCCTCATACAGCTGCAAGGCTCAGACACTTTGTAGAGAGGAATTTAACACAACTGCCTCTAGGAGTCGCCAATGGAAATAAAACAGACACGCACAAAAAATGTGCGTACGCCTGCCAGAAAGCTGCCGTGAAGCTGC